CTCATCGCCAGTCTCAGCGAAACCTGTCAGGCTTTCGGACTCACCATCAGCCTGAAGAAAACACAGGTCATGGGACAAGGAGTGAACTCCCCACCTGACATCGGCATCTCCGATTACAAACTGGAAGTCGTTCACAACTTCGTGTACTTGGGGTCCACGATCTCTGACTCCCTCTCTTGATACGGAGCTAAACAAACGCATCGGTAATGCATCTACTACCATGTCCAGACTGACAAAGAGAGTGTGGGCCAGCAATAGGCTGACTGAGTGTACAAAGATCCAGGTTTACAAAGCCTGTACCCTGAGCACTCTCCTTTATGGCAGTGAGTCTTGGACACTCCGCACCCATCAGGAAAGATAGCTGAATGCCTACACAATACGCTGCCTCAGACACATCTTAGACATCACCTGGCAGGACAAGGTGACCAATAACAGCGTCCTGTGGAGAGTTACAATTACCAGCATGTATACAATGTTGAATCAGAGACGAATGCACTGGCTCGGGCAAGTGATGCGAATGGGCGAATGCAGGATCCCCAAGGATGTCCTGTATGGAGAGCTGAAGCAGGGAAAACCTCCAACAGGCAAACCCAAGCTACGGTACAAAGACGTATGCAAGAGGGGACCTGTAAGCCATGGACGTCGATCTTGCTGGGTGGGAACACTGCCTGCAGACCGTTCAGCCTAGGGGTAGTCTGTTCAGACATGCCTCTTCAGGTTTGAGGAGTCACTTGCCAAGAAATCGGAGGCAAAGAGACAGAGATGGATAGCCGGAAGCAAGGAAATCAGACCAGAATCAGACTTCGTTTGAACTCGAATTTGTGTGGGTTAGACTGCCAATCTCGGATTGGCTTCTTCAGTCACACCAGGATTGACAACCAGAAACCAGACAACAATCATTGCACCAGGATTGACAACCAGAGTGCAACTCCATAGTCTCCCGAGACTGAAGAAGGCCTATTATCTATAAACATATATATATATATATATATATATATATATATATATATATATATATATATATATATATATATATATATATATATATATATATATATATATATATATATATATATATATATATATATATATATTATTAAATATGACCGAAAAAGTAAGATTAATAATTCTAACACGAATTTTCTCAATCTTTCGTACATTTCTTTTCACTGTTAGTGGTAATTCAAAAATCAATTCTCCAAAATTCATTTTTATTTCTAGTCTGACGCGACACTTGAGCGCGTTTCGTAAAACTTATTACATTTTCAAAGACTTTAGTTACACATACGCAACTGAATAGAACTTACACATCTCCGATTTGTTTATATCTACATTTGAGTGAGGTGGATGGGGTGAGGTGGTATTTAATAGGGTATTAATTTCATCAACACAAGACAGAACACGAAACAATGGGTATTGAATAGAAGTGATTGTAGAAAGCCTATTGGTCCATATTTCTTGATGCTTCTATATTGGAGCGGAGTCTTGAGGTGGGTAGAATATAGTTGTGCATTAATTGGCTGTTGATTGCTGGTGTTGACTTTTTAATGTGTAGTGCCTCGCAAACGTCAAGCCGTCTACTATCGATGTATCTATCGATGATTTCTGTGTTGTTTACTAGGATTTCTCTGGCGATGGTTTGGTTGTGGGAAGAGATTATATGTTCCTTAATGGAGCCCTGTTGCTTATGCATCGTTAATCGCCTGGAAAGAGATGTTGTTATCTTGCCTATATACTGAGTAGGTTGAGTAGGTTGGCCGTTTTCTTGGTTTTATAGTAAATCGTCAATTGTATCTTCTGATTTTTGTCTGTAGGGATAACGTTTCTATTAACAATATCTTTCAGGAACCTTTCCTCTGTTTTATGAGCTGTGGAAAAGAAGTTCCTGTAACATAGTCTAATAGGGGGGTACAGGTGTTGTGTTAGTTGTCTCTTCAGAGGTTGCATGGCGTTTCACCTTCCTTCTTATGATGTCTTCAACGAAACCATTGGAGAAGCCGTTGTTGACTAGGACCTGCCTTACCCTACAGAGTTCTTCATCGACTTGCTTCCATCCTGAGCTGTGGCTGAGAGCACGGTCGACATAAGCGTTAACAACACTTCTCTTGTACCTGTCTGGGCAGTCGCTGTTGGCATTTAGGCACATTCCTATGTTTGTTTCATTAGTGTAGACTGCAGTGTGGAAACCTCCGCTCCTTTCCATGACTGTTACATCTAGAAAGGGCAGCTTCCCATCCTTTTCCATCTCGTAAGTGAAACGCAACACAGAATTCCGCTCAAATGCCTCCTTCAGCTCCTGCAGATGTCTGACATCAGGTACCAGTGTAAAAATGTCATCAACATACCTGCAGTATATGGCCGGTTTCAAGTTCTTAGTCGACATGAACTTTAACCTTTAGTTAAAGTTCTAATTAACTAGTTAAAGTTAACTAGTCAACCTTTAACTTACAAAATATTATACCCATTGTTTCGTGTTCTGTCTTGTGTTGAAAGTTTGTTTTCACCTCATCCAAAACTGTTGTAACATATCACTCCATCCAAATGCAGGTATAAAATCAAAGCTGTTTAAACTCTGTTTAGTGTTTGCAGGTTATAGTTGTGTATGTGTAAACTAAAAGTCTTTGAAAATATAATAAGTTATTACGAAACGAGTTCAAGTGTCGCGTCAGACTAAAAATAAAAATGAATTTTGGAGAATTGATTTTTCAATTACCATCAACAGTGAAAAGAAATATTATAAATATTGAGAAAATTCGTGTTAGAATTATTAATCTTACTTTTTCGGTCATATTTAATAATATATGTCTACAGGAAAGACTGCTACCAAAATATACTAAAGTATATATATGTCGTACCTAGTAGCCAGAACGCACTTCTCGGCCTACTATGCAAGGCCCGATTCTACCTACTATTCAAGAGCGGAGTCTTGAAGTGGGTAGAATTCTACCCACTTCAAGACTCCGCTCCAATATAGAAGCATCAAGAAATATGGGCAAATAAAAATAGGCCGTCTGCAGTTACCTACCTTTAATACCTGTTTGTATTACATTGCTTCGTGTTCTGTCTTGTGTTAAAAGTTTATTTTCACCTCATCCAAAGCTATTGTAACATGTCACTTCACCCAAATGTAGGTATAAAAAACTTGAAGATGTTTAAGCTCTATTCAGTTAAAGTTGTGTGTGTGTGTGTGTAAACTAAAGTCTTTGAAAATGTAATAAGTTTTACGAAACGCGCTCAAGTGTCGCGTCAGACTTGAAATAATACACATAGTAGTGTGTACACAGAAGTAGTGTGTACACATAATAGAGTGTGTAAATATAGTAGTGTGTACACATAGTAGTGTGTACATATAGTAGTGTCTACATATAGTTGTGTTTACACATAGTAGTGTGTACATATAGTAGTGTGTACATATAGTAGTATGTAAACATAGTAGCGTGTCAACATCATGTACACATAGTAGTGAGTACGCATGGTAGTATGTACACATAGTAGTGTATACACATAGTAGTGTGTCAACATCGTGAAAACATAGTAGTGTATACACATAGTAGTGTATACACATAGTAGTGTGTACACATAGTAGTGTATACACATAGTAGTGTGTACACATAGTAGTGTATACACATAGTAGTGTGTACACATAGTAGTGTATACACATAGTAGTGTGTACACATAGTAGTGTGTACACATAGTAGTGTGTACACATAGTAGTGTGTACACATAGTAGTGTGTACACATAGTAGTGTGTACACATAGTAGTGTGTACACATAGTAGTGTGTACACATAGTAGTGTGTACACATAGTAGTGTGTACACATAGTAGTGTGTACACATAGTAGTGTGTACACATAGTAGTGTGTACACATAGTAGTGTGTACACATAGTAGTGTATACACATAGTAGTGTGTACACATAGTAGTGTATACACATAGTAGTGTGTACACATAGTAGTGTGTACACATAGTAGTGTGTACACATAGTAGTGTGTACACATAGTAGTGTGTACACATAGTAGTGTGTACACATAGTAGTGTGTACACATAGTAGTGCATACACATAGTAGTGTATACACATAGTAGTGTATACACATAGTAGTGTGTACACATAGTAGTGTGTACACATAGTAGTGTGTACACATAGTAGTGTGTACACATAGTAGTGTGTACACATAGTAGTGTATACACATAGTAGTGTGTACACATAGTAGTGTGTACACATAGTAGTGTGTACACATAGTAGTGTATACACATAGTAGTGTGTACACATAGTAGTGTGTACACATAGTAGTGTATACACATAGTAGTGTATACACATAGTAGTGTGTACACATAGTAGTGTATACACATAGTAGTGTGTACACATAGTAGTGTGTACACATAGTAGTGTATACACATAGTAGTGTGTACACATAGTAGTGTGTACACATAGTAGTGTATACACATAGTAGTGTGTACACATAGTAGTGTGTACACATAGTAGTGTATACACATAGTAGTGTATACACATAGTAGTGTGTACACATAGTAGTGTGTACACATAGTAGTGTATACACATAGTAGTGTATACACATAGTAGTGTATACACATAGTAGTGTGTACACAAGCAATAACATAAACAAATAAATCCACAGCATGCTTAAGGAAGTGGAAGGAAAAGCTGCCTTCACTTTGGCTACTTTTAAATGTTGTCGATTAACCTTAACCGTACAAACAGCTGCAGGTCCACACTGCACGGCACTACTCTTACTTATGTCTCGCAGAACATGTACCAGGAGGCATTACTCTCACTTATACTCCCCATAACATACGCCAGACAGCACTACTCTCACTTATTCTAATCAGAACATGCACCAGACAGCACTAATCTCACTTATGTTTCCCTGAACATCCACCAGATGGCAATACTCTCACTTATACTTCCCAGAACATGCGCCAGACAGTACAACTCCCACACTTGCAACATGGTGTTAATCTTCACTACTCCTGCCCTTGTTGCAGCATGGTGGTGATCTTCAGCGCCTACACCGGACTCTTCATCAATATTCGGGAAACAAGGATGTGCACGTCTCTCTCCAGCGACGAGATGACCTTTGCTCTCCGCTTCTTCTTCATAGTCGTCACCAACTGCCTGTGTTGGCTGCCCATCATGTGCGTCAAGGTGGCCGCCCTGGCCAACATTGACGTCCACCGTGAGTAGCTTGTTTGTGACGGCTTGGGGCGTCCAGGGGCAGCCTGGGGCGGCCAGGGCGGCCAGGGCAGCCTGGGCGGCCTAGGGCAGCCTGGGCGGCCTGGGGCAGCCTGGGCGGCCCTGGGGCAGCTTGGGCGGCCAGGGTGGCCAGGGCGGCCTGAGCGGCCTGGCGGCCTGAGGAGGCCTAAGGTGGGCTGTGGAGGCCTGGGGCGGCCTGCTGCGGCCTGTTTTGGCCCATGGCGGCCTGGCGAGGCCTGGGGCAGACTGTGGCGGCCTGTTATGGCCTGGGGTAACCTGGGATGGCCTGTGGTGGCTTGGGGCAGCCTGTGGTGGCCTGGGGTCGACTGTGGAGGTCTGGGGAGTGCCTGCGGCGGCCAGGGCGGCCTGTGGGGGCCTGTGTAGGCATGTGTCGGCTTTTGGTGGCCTGGGAGGGGCCTGTTGACTTCTGGGGTGGCCTGGAGCGATCTGTGGCAGCCTGTTACGAACAGGGGTATCCTGGGGTGGCCTATTGTGGCCTGTGGCGGCCTGAGGTGGTCTGTGGCTTCCTGGGATAATCTTTTGCGGCCTGTGAGGGCCAGGAGCGCAGGTTGGTAGACTCCAAAATCACCTAACTTGTTTCTAAAAAAAACAGTCCCGAATACATACAAGCATGCATACACATACTCCATAACCCATACAAGCTTAGACAACAGTCTGTTTAATCCACCATTGTACCATTTAGTCAGATGCAAATTCATACCATATTAATCCCTAAAATATATTTAGAACAAGATTTCAGTAACCCAACTGCTCATTCGCCCAAAGTGATCTTTCATTTTTGTTCTGTAAATTCATACTGATGCATGTCAATCAGCATGATAACCACAGTATTCAAGCAGGTCCAACAAATATTATTAAATACACCATTATACTCAAACACACCAACTATTGTAATTACATGTTTATATACCAACTCACGTACTGTTAATGGATAAACCAGGGTGTTTAAGTCACATTGTAATATATCCGTAATTATTAATAAAAAGCTGAGTTTATGATAAGTCACACTAAAAACACAAAATTTTTTCACCATTCACACAAAATGCTACACTTGTACATACAATAAAAAATACACAAAATCAAAATCAAAACAGACTGGATAAAAACACACACATTTATACTCAATATTGCATTTATGGACGAGGTATAACATTTTCACTTAATATTGCATTTACACATGCAGTATAACATTTATACATAAAAATTACAATTTATACACAAAGTACAAAATTTTCACACAAAATATACCATTTATAGACAAAATATTTCATTTTACATACAATATATATCAATTGCACACAAAATGTTCCATTTATACAAATATAACATGTACATTCAAAGTATGACAATTACACAGAATATGGTATTTGCACGATTATAACAAATTGAATATACGCTCAAACGATCAAAATGTACTCTCAATAAATTTACAAAAGTTCATACACATATCTTTCACAAAATACCCACACACTATCTCATAAATCAAATACACTTTCACACTTGTTCATGCCGATCAATATTTCAGATAACATATACAGAACTTACACAAATACACAATTTGCATAAAAATACAGTTTTACCAGTTCCAATTCAGCAAATAAAACACAAATTGCATAATTACACTATTCGCACTAAAATGATTTAAAACTACGACAATTAACACACAACTTGTGTAATTAATACACATCTTTGCACAATTAATATAATTGTGCAAAGTATGCTATATAACTACACAACTTGCACAATTTAAATCAAAACTCAACGGGCGCAAATACACAATTCGTCCATATACCATTACAAAAAATCACAATTTATACACAAGTTGCTCAATTATTACAATCTTTCAGAATTATTACACAACTTGCATAAATACAATCAAATATATATCCAGCACAAATACATACAATACTTAACTAGCCAAATACGTAAAATACACAACTAGTACAAATACATAATTCATACAAATACAATTACAACATACACTCAATTAATACGCAACTTGCACAAATATAATTAATACACAACTACCACAAATATGAAAAATTCACAACTAGCACATATTCCCCCAAATACACTTACAAATCATCTACAATTAATATAAAACTTGCACAAACAATACACAATTTATGGAAATATAATCAATACAAAATTTGTGGGAATATACACTTACAAAATATATACAATTAATACACAACTTGCACAAACAATTAACAATTTGCAGAATATAATCAATACTTAACTATGCAGACGACTTTGTGGTCATCATCAATGGCAAAGGTGCAAGGAACCATGCACAAAAATGCCTAGATATTATCAGCAAAGAAGCGGAACGCATAGCAGTGAAAATAAACAGCAATAAAACATAAGCAATGGCCGTTAAAATGAGAATTCAAGACATCAGACTGGCAATACAAGGACAAGAAATTGAGTGGGTTACCTCTTCTCAATACCTAGGAGTCATAATAGAAAACCAGTTGAAATTCACCCAAGAAATTGAATATCTTCGGCAACGCTGTAAAGCCAGAAACTCAGCTTTGCGCTCTCTGACCAGTCTTAGAGAGGGTGCATCTCTACCAGTACTCAAAATGTACTACGTTCAAGCAGTTAGGTCACTCATCGAGTATGCTGCTCCTGCTCTTACATCCCTCAGTGATAACCAATGGGAGAAACTGGAAGTGTCTCAAAATGATGCTCTAAGAACAATGCTGGGAGCACCTATATGGACGCGTAGAGAGAACCTTAGAATGGAAACAAATTTACCAACATTAGAAAACAGGATGAAACAAAGGATAGCCACCATAATATTAAAACTCACTGGAACAACTGCCAGGCTGTCAATCAAAGACAGCATACAGAGATCCTTTCAGAAAAACCTACAGTATAGAACAAGCTCATGGATGGATATTGTGGTCAAGATTTTAGAGAAAATGGACCTGAAATGGACCATTAAAAACAAAGCGGAAGATAGACCATATCAACACTTTCGACAGCCTTCTTCATGGGAAGAATCGAATCTAAAGATAATCATTGAAAGATTATCAGTTAAAAAATCAGCATGTGACCCGCAAAGGCTCAAGGAAGTAATAGAGCCACAAATGGAAACTATCTCTAGACCCACAACGACTCACATCTTCACAGACGGATCAGTTGATCAAGAAAAAGGTTCTGCTGGGGCAGTAGTTTACACTACCAACCATGAAGCTTACTGGAGCATGAATAGTAGGTGCTCAACATTGCAAACAGAATTATATGCCCTGAAGGAGGCAATAAACTATACAATTGAGAATAATTTACATGATGTCATCATTCATACAGACTCTAAATCTTCGCTCCAAGCATTGTTATCTAGTCAGCACAGAGATAATATACAACTCCTCACAGAAATCAACATATAGGAAAAGATGCCCATAATCGAGGACTGTCAATCACCCTAAATTGGATACCAAGACACATTGGCATAGATGGTAATGAAAAGGCAGAGTCACTAGCAAAAACTGCCACTACTCTACCTGTTGTACAGGTTCAAATAATTCCAAGTTTCTCACAGATTAAGGAGCAAATCAAGATGAATATATTCTCAACTATCAAAAGTCGCCACAGAGCCAAAGTAGCGGAAGGAATATCCACTGCGATATGGTACGAACAAGCCACTGGTTACTCCTCTTTCAAGCCTGGCAAAAAGATATCCAGAGACATTGCAGTAGCCATACACAGACTCAGACTTGGGTACAAGTGCTGCTGGTAGGTAATGAACCCAATAGTTAAAGAGTGTCACATCTGTGAAACTGAAGCAGAGGCGCCACTATTGCACTACTTAATGGAATGTGAAGCTACTGAACCCCTGCGCATCAAACTCAACATTAATCCAACGACAGCAGCTGCATTAGATGCACATTCCACCGCGACTACAATGATTAGAAAAGCTGTTGAGGAATGGGACTCATTAGTGAGCATTCTGCATCTACATCCGCCACCAAGAAAATGTTATTAAAACAAGATTAAAACCAGTGCCCTAAAACAGAAGCGATAAATAAGCAGGGAAAAAGGAGAAGTCCTCTCCTCCATTTTAAACTTAGACCCAAATATCACAGGAAAAAGGTTATCATGTATAACCAAACTCAATTACGGGCTCACCATAGCCCGTGCTACATGGACACTCCGTCCTGAGTAGCTAAATCTTTAACAACAACAACAATATGTCGAAATATTATTACAGCAATAATGGAAGGATTAGTGAAGGAACTGGTGAATTTAGTTGGAGCTCTGAGGACAGAGTTGGATTCGCTACAGGAGGAGGTACGACAGCTGAAACAACATCAGGAAGAAACAAAGGAGACGACCAGTGTTAAAAAGAGCTCGTCTTGACAAGTTGTAAAGGACAGGGGTCTTAAGAAGACCTTGGCAAAACCGATACCTAATAGCCATAAGGACTTCTAACGCATTTGATGTGTTAGAGGACGAGTGCTGTGGTGAACCTGTAGTTCAACGAGAAGGCAAAGGCAAAGCAACGAGGAACATTGAAGCGCAGGTCCCTCAAAGTGCCCTAAAGGAAAAGGGAGGAACGAAGCGAATTTTGGTTGTGGGAGATTCCCAGGTGAGGCATTTAGACAGAACGTTTTGTGCCAGAGATAAAGGAAACAGGTTAAGGGTTTGCTATCCGGGAGCTGGTATTGGTGATATTGTTGGAAACATGAAAGATATTATGACGGGAAATGGGAACAAACCCATTATTTGTATTAGTGCAGGGGGTAATGATGTTGGGCGAGTTAGGAGTGAGGAACTAATACAGAGATTCAAGACAGCAATAGAATTAGTTAGGAACAAGGGAGGAATCCCGATCATATGTGGCATTCTTCCAAGAAAGGGAGTGGGAAATGAATGGATGTCGGGGGCACTTGGTGTCAATTGCAGGCTGGAAAGTTATTGCAAATCTAATGCAATATCTTTCATAGACAACTGGGA